CCGAAAGTAGAAATCTATGTACTGATATCTATGTACCGATATCTACTGCATTTGTAATGACAATGGAAGAAATTTTGAAAGAATAAGGAAATAATATTGCTGATATTACCGCTTGATACGATGTTCCACGATTTTATACTTTCTTGGCAATATTCTGATTATTAGATAATACGAAACTATCGCATGTTGGTGAGTACATTTTCTTCTGTACAGACTTTTAAACCAGATTTTATTGCTTGCGTGTGGAGAAAAGCTATGTAGTAGGTTAGTACTTAAACGTTGTGTGCGTGAAAACGTGCTCTACCACTTCATATTACATGAATTACAGAAGCACCATACGATAAAAGTTTATTTAATACACAGTCAAAACAAAAATGTTTGTTTTTAAATTTCGGATTGGACTGTCGACTTGTATTTGAACAAGCTAGTTTAAATATAATTTGTAGTGATAGCAGTGGTACGTAATTCTACATATAGCTAATGTTAAAATTATATTGTCGTTGTACGTTGTTAGCAAGACATATAGATCCATGTTACATATTAATGAAGCGAGTAATAATTAATTAATTGTAGTTTTAGTATGAATAATTTCTTTCAAGATGATTTCCGCAAAAGTTTCCAAATATTACGCACTAAGGATGCGAAAGTAATCACGCATGAGCGGTGTCCTGAAATGTTTCTCCAGTGCGACTACTGTAATGTCGATACCAGGGAACAATTCTCTGTAACCGGCGCAATCTGTACCAAAAGCAAAATAAACTCCCGCTGAAAACATCCCATGTGGGAAATTGCAGAACAAATACAACTTGTTGGGATTCAGATCGGTAGTTTTTACTAATTTTATGGGGAAGTAGTTGCAGGAATAGCGGTTCAGTGCAGATGTTCTCCACCATTGCTTGAATTGTGCCCTGTGAACGTAGAAATTCAACTGGTTAAGTATAATCTAACGCATTTCCCAGAGAAATCATACTGTTAGATCACTTAATTAGTTAATGCATGTGTGATATTATTTTGAATAAATTAAGTTTGAATTACATGTAGTTTCTTTGAGATGATTTGGCAATAAGGATATTAATATTAATAACTATATAGACATTCAGCAAGACATCATGTACGTTTTGATATTCTGTTAAGGGTATGCATCGAAAGAAAATATATCTTCAGAATCGAAAGAGAAAATACGACAATGCTTAAACTTGACTGGAACAATATAAACGACATTCTGACAAAAATATCCAAATTCCACTCCTTTCTATCAAACGTACTCCTCTTTTCTTCAATTACACGTATTGAAATAATAATACAGGAAGAAATTATATAAATATTATTTTTTCAATTGGCATCACAAGCGTAATTATAAATACCTTATTCCGCCTACATTGCACAAATAATTATCGTAGTACATCCAGAAGAAGTAGAGCAACACGACGTAACGAAGGGTTTCCGAATAAAAGAAAAGATATATT